CTGCACACTTTCTCTGATCCTTCCTTTGCTCCTGACAGAGGCTCACCGCACTGACAGACGAAGAACCTGCTTCCAGGCTCTGAAATCACATCATGCGTCCCTCCTTCAGTTCTCCCTGGCCCAGGGGCTCTCAACCTCAAAGCACGAAGCCTTCACAGGGAGCCTGTGAGCTGTTGTCCTGTATGACACACCTCACTCGAGGGAGAGACCTACAGGCTATTAGGCTCATGTCCCAGGGAAACATCACCTTGATAAGCAAAATGAAAAAATAAAGAAACAGGGTAACAGTGATTGCAAGAGAGTGGCTTGAGCTTCACCCCATCTCATAAGCATGTTTTAACTCACTGTAACAAGCAGCCACTCCTCAAAGTGTCAAAGCGATGACTGTGGATTTCTTAAACTTAAAACCTCACCGTCAAGACGCACAGGTGTACCTGCAGTACTTCGTGGAACGAAACTGACAGGAACGGGGCACACCAAGGAAGACTTCTCTCCACAAGCCGCAGGAGTCATTGTTTGCCAAGCTCTTCAAGGCAGACTGGGAAGCATGTTTGGAAAACAAAGAACTTTTTAATTGTTGCTGACATGAATGAACCCTCTGAAACAACAGCTGTGTCTTGAGATTACATTACAAGCATGTGAGCAGGCTGCAAAGCTTCCTCATACAAAGACAACACCAAAGAAGTCTTTTAATTGTTTCTGAAAAAAATTCCCAAGCGAGGGATGCCTCATTTCAGTTCCTGCGGGATGCAGTCACTCTAAGTTTACAGAATGAAACTGAGAAACAATGTCTGTATTGACTTCAGCGGGTAAAAAACAAAATCCAGGTGGACAGCTTGGGCCGGAGTAGGAAGTCTGTTGTCAATGTTATCCATGTGTCCAGCCTAAAAGTTCGCTAATGGCAGTGACATCTGGCTTTTAAAATACCATCCCAAGATGATTTCCTTCCTGTCTTTCCAGTCACAGAATGTCTGGTGCTGGGTATAAATTATGGACAGAAGAACTCATTTGGAGAAATGTTGACCCAGTCATACTTCATAGGTTTATTGCTACCCTGAGAGAAATGAACCTTGTGAAATTATAACCGCCAAACTACAACCAAAGGTTGTACAACCAAACTACAAGCTCCCTTCCAAATGGAGACCTCCAGCAAGCAGAGGAGAAGGTTAAGGGCCGGGGAGGGGCATCAAGCATGCTTAAGGAGGAAGGAAAAGGGCCAAGGAGACTGGGTTTAGTAAGCAGCCCAGTGGGTCTGACGTCGAGGGAATGATTACCACACTGTCTCCAATTCCCTTCATCAAGCAGCCTTACTTGAGATTCTCACATCTTCAGGGTAAGTGATTATACCAAAAGTGCATGTAAAATGTGGGGAGAGTATGTTTGCTACAAACTTCACTGGATTCTCAGAAGACCCCAGAAGCTAAAACTGCTAAAAAAATAATAATAATAATAAGCCAAGCATGGAGAACTGAAGAAAGCTGTAAAGACTTTGACCCTCCTTCCATGAGGTAATGGGTTTTCTTTCCCCTCCCCATGGATGTAAACTGGACCATGGCTGCTTTTACCAGCAAGATGCCGGGGATGAGCTCCGGGCTTAGCCTGAACAAGCAACACAAGCAGTGGGGTCCTGGAGCCCTGAGAACATGGTCCATGATAGGCTCCCGCTGCACACAGAAGACCCAGAAGATGCGATGCTGGAGAGAGAGAGAGGCCAGGCAGCACCAAGGCCCCAGATGCGAATGGAGAAATCAGATTTGAGTGGATCCTGCAGGCCCAGCTGCTGCCAAACTGACCAGAGACAATTCATCCAGCCTAGCCGTTTCTGAATTCTTGACCCACAACATCATGAATGACATGATATAGTGGTTCTAAAACCACAAAAGTCAGGGATAACTTGCTTTAGAGCAAGAGATAAAATTAACACACCTTTAAATAGACTTAAGAACGTCACATACCACTCAAAACTTATGGACAGTCTATAAAATTATAAACAGAAACATAATTCTAAAACAAAATATGTGGGTTCCTATAGAATTTCTGCCCTCTGTGTTGCTTACCAGTGAAGCTCTCTTTCAACAACCTCTTAGTTTAAAAAAGAAATTAAAAACTTGCCAAAAGAGAAACATTTAAAAAAATCAGAACTCAACATTTTTAACGCAAACAATGCAAATGATGTTTAGGTTTATTTCATTTTTTTGACTTTCCACCCTGCCTATTTTCCCGCCAGTCCTCCATGCACCTTCTTGTATGTTCTGCTCACACTTGTTCTTGGTTCATCTTACCCTTGATGCCTCCTCACCCTATTAGTTCATAGTCACTGTAAAATGGTTTTGTTCCCAAAGGACTTACAGAAGCTCTTTCCTGAATAACCTATAGATCCTTCATTGCCTAATCAATTAGTTTTCATTTTATTTTTGCTAAAGATTTGTCTAGGTAATTTCCCTGACACAAAGAGAAACTCCTAAAAAAAAAGAGAGAAAAGAAACTCCTAATAATTTTACTTGTTTAAGTTTAGATTCTATTACTTCTCTATTTTTTTTCCAGTGGTCATGTATGCATGTAAGAGTTGGACTGTGAAGAAAGCTGAGCGCTGAAAAATTGATGCTTTTGAACTGTGGTGTTGGAGAAGACTCTTGAGAGTCCCTTGGACTGCAAGGAGATCCAACCAGTCCATCCTAAAGGAGATCAGTCCTGGGTGTTCATTGGAGGGACTGATGCTGAAGCTGAAACTCCCATACTTTGGCCCCCTGATGTGAAGAACTGACTCATCTGAAAAGACCCTGATGCTGGGGAAGATTGAAGGCTGAAAGAGAAGGGGATGACAGAGGATGAGATGGTTGGATGGCATCACTGACTTGATGGACATGAATTTCAGTAAGCTCCAGGAGTTGGTGATGGACAGGGAAGCCTGGCGTGCTACAGTCCATAGGGTCGCAGAGTCAGACATGACTGAGCGACTGAACTGAAACTGAATTCTGACGAGTGTGAGGTGATACCTCATTGTGCTTTTGATTTGCATATCTGTAATAGTCAGTGATGTTGTGCACATATGTCTATTGGCCATCTGTATGCTAAGATGTATGTTAGCAACATCTGCATGTTGATCCCTCTTGAGGTCACACGCACAGCACTGCAGTTATTTAGAAAGGGAAGAGAGGTCCCTGCATCCCATCTGAGTGACCTTCACAGGTAGGTGAGTGGAGGGATGGTCACTTGGGCAGCTGGATGCACTGAATGAAGCAATTCTAAAGGAAATAATCTGCAACTCAGACCACCAGCAACTTTCTCTATGAAGTACTTGGCTCTGAACCTGCTCATAAACAAATCCACTTCAATGTAACAAAATAATCTGCTGGAAAAGACTGGTGCCATGACAATCTGCATTTAGAACTGAGGCAATAATTTTGCTTGTCCCCTTCCACCAGCAGCAGACTTGCAGCCTACCATGGTTAACCTATTGGAGCTGTGATCATTGTGTCTGTTTTTTCCTTTAGTTCTATGGTTTCTGGTTTACAAATCTCTGCCTCCTCCCTCATACCATTTTCTTTGTTGTATCACTGCAGACAGCACAGAGGTAAAATAAATGAAATCTCAGATCCTGAGGATCCTCAAAGGCTAACAACTGACTGAAGAAGGAGACCGGGGTCAGGGCAGGAAGGGAACTGCATGGTGTCCAGCCTGGTTGAGCCACATACCCTGTCCTGACAGCCATGTCCAGGCGCCAGAGGTGCATGACCAGAGGCCAAGCCCCAGCCCCTTGACTCTCAGGCTAACAGAATAAGACCTTAGAGGTCAACTTTTCTAGCTCCCATACTTTATAGATGAGCAAACCAATGTCCAGGGATTTGGAAATGCTAGTTACATGACTAGTTAGTGGCAGAGTTAGTGCTAGAATCTGCTCTTTGCTTTACACATAGTTATGGGAGAAAAGCATCTTTCACCAAAATAGGTCATGCTAGAATCTTTAAGCTCCCAGTACCTCAGAACATGACCTTGTTTGGAAACTGGGAGATCACAAGTGTGATTCTACTGTACTGGATTATACTGGATTGTAAGTTGTGGTCATACTGGACTAGGGTGCCCCCGAACCCAGTATAACAGGTGTCCTCACAAGAAGACAGAGACACAGGGAGGGAGCTACCTGGAGGCTGAGGCCAGGGCTGCACTGAGGCAGCTGCAAGACAGGAGCACAGGGCTACTGGCAGGACACTGGCCCAGTTTATCCAGAGCTGGAAAGGGGCAGGGAAGGACCTCCTGCCCCTTTCAGTGGAGTGTGGTCCCTCCAGCACTTTGATTTTGGACTTCTAGCTTCCAGAACTTGGAGACAATACATTTCTGCTGTTTAAACTACCCAGTTTGTGGTACTTTGTTACAGTAGTCCTGGGATACTAACACACCCACCACTTGGCTCACCAGTCAGTCCTAAAGGAAATCAACCCTGAATGTTCACTGGAAGGACTGATGCTGAAGCTGAAGCTCCAGTAATTTAGCCACCTGATGCAAAAAACTGACTCACAGGAAAAGACCCTGATGCTGGGAAAGATTGAAGGCAAGGAGGAAAAGGGGAAGTCAGAGGATGAGATGGTTGGATGGCATCACTGACTCAATGGACATGAATTTGAGCAAGCTCCAGGAGATAGTGAAAGACAGGGAAACCTGGCGTGCTGCAGCCCACGGGGTCACACAGAGTCGGACATGACTGAGCAACTGAACAACAACTTTGCTCACAATGAGGCTTACAACAGGGCTGCTGCAGAGCAGACTTATTCTGTCTTTATGGTCACAGAAACCACAAGAACCTGTCTGCCTCCCCAGACACTGTCCCTATATTTGGACACTCACTTTCAGACACCAAGTGCCAAGAGCAGTGCTTCTTCTTTTCTCCGAGCCACATTTCAAGTAGCATGAGGACCAGAGGAGTAGAAGTCCCCACAGCACCTGTTAAGGGGTATGAAAAATATTCCTGATGCCAAAACACCTCCCTTCCTGATCCTGACAGCATGTCAGCAGACAGGAAGCCCTGGAGCATTGGCACCGAGTTCCCTCGAGTCTGCCCAGCACAGACTGATCCAGGAAAGGCCCTGCGTGCTGTCCCCAACAGCTCTGTGTGGGCGAGTCCGCCTCAGGTTGAAGAAGCACACACACCCCACACACAGGGCAGCTCCCAGTGCAGGCATCTGGGTGCAACGGAAGAGCTGAGTGCGAGAGGCATGCGCTGCAGGGCCCTGGCTGGAATCTCTGGGCTCTGCGGCGTGCCCCTAGGAGAGACATCCTCCTTCTCTGAGCTTCATCATGTGTAAGGCTTTCCTGGTGGCTCAGTTGGTAAAGAATCCACCTGCAATGCAGGAGATCTGAGTTCAATCCCTGAATAAAGGTACTGATACCCACCTTGCCAGATTCATGTAATACATATAGATGAAGTTATTTAAAACATAGCCTATTTAGATATACAATAAGTGAATGTGGTTTTGTTGATATTTTCATTGCTATTTTATTAAATCCCAGTGCTGGACAAAGACCTTCATGGAAAATCTAACCATGTCTTCTCAACTCTTCTCCATCCTATGCTGGAAGCATGACACAGGGGTCCCATGTCATCAGCTTTATCTGTCCTAGCAGAGTATCCATTCATGGAGCCATTGGGATAGGGACCGACACCCATCTAAATCCTGGTCACTGAACAGAGGGCTTGGTGCACACTAAGCAGTCAAAAATATCTGTTGCATGTTGAATACATGTTACACAAACACTTTTCCTCAGGATTCACAATCATCCATTTAAAATGAGCAAGTAAGTATTCTTGTCCTAAAACACTGACTATTTTCACTATTAAGGAGCACCAAGTATGGATGTCATCCAAGGTCATACAGCCTCAATCTGAAAATACATTGTCTTTCACTAGAGCTTTCCAAAACCAGTGCATCAATGACACGTTGCTTTAATCAAATCTTACAGTAAGTCAGTCCTTTGGATGTTGCAGACTAGAAGTGGAATAGTCACGCTTTCTAATTTTTCTCTTGCCCCAAATTTGCATCCATAGGCTTCCAAATGTGCATTCTCTTCCACAGAAGCTCAACTGGACTCAATTTTTAAAGCTGAGATCTTCAAAGAGGACGTTATACACACATGCACATGTGTGCACACACACACGCACATAATAACTGGACACAAGTTAGTCCAGGTCCATTTCTCTTGAGTCTCTTACCTCCTTGTTTCATGTCCCTTGCTTTCTGGTTTCAATGTGCAGCCTTAAGACAAGCATCCTTTGCTATATTCATCCTCTCATGTCAATTATGTCAGTTGCCCGACTTTAACAGTCTCATCACCATTATTTGAGGACTGTGACAAACAAAAAAAATCTGCTGTGTCCTTCCTGTAGGCTCTCAACAGAAGTAGACTGAGAAAATCTGTGACTTGACTGCCATCTAGAGAAGGCTAGAGATACTGGAATTAAACAAGCTAATCTAGTATGTTGATAGGTTTACATCTCTCTAACCCTTTGGGCAAAAAAATAACAATAGTAAGGAAAAGGCTTTTAAACAAGACATGCAGAAAATACTTAAATGCTATATTGTAGCTTGGGATGTTGTTATTCATCTTTTTTTTATATAAAAATGTATGCAACTGTATTGTTCCTACGGAGAAATGATACTACTCATGATAGCCATCTGCTTGTGTTTGAATCTATTTTATGGATTCCTTTGGAAAATATACATTAAGGTAATGTAGTTATTATATCTGCACATTTGTGATGCTGTAATTAACACTTGGAGGTTGTTCTCATTAAATTTTCCATATTGTTACTGACTTCTTTCCTGCTGGCATATGAGTTTTCATCTTAAAACGGACTTCAGAACCTCTCTATGCTGTTCCTGTCATGTAATACTGGTGGCTCAGATGGTAAAGATTCTGCCTGTAATGCAAGAGACCCAGGTTCGGTCCCTGGGTGAGAAGATCCCCTGGAGACGGAAACAGTAACCCGCTCCAGTGTTCTTGCCTGGAAAATGGACAGAGGAGCCTGGCAGGCTACAGTCCGTGGGGTCGCAAGAGTTGGACATGACTTAGTGACTAAACTACCACCACCACCAGTATTCTTGCCTGGAGAATTCCATGGACAAGGAGCCTGGTGTGCTACAGTCCATGGGGTTGGACACAACTGAGCCACTAATACATCATCACTAGACAAAAAACTTATCCAGCTTCATAAAATGTCTTAAACAATTGTATCATGCAAAGTTTTAATAAAGCCTAAAGATATGGAAAATTTTAAAATGATCTCACTTAAGTTTCTTCTGTTCCTACACAACAAATCTGTAGATTTTCTGTAAAGATCTATTACCTAGAGATCTAGAAGAATTGGTAGTTTTTCCTTTTCTTTTACATTACCATAGGAAATATCTGTTATTCCAGTGCCAAGAAGTCAACACTTGAGCTTATTGAGATTCTTGACTGTTTTCACAAGAGGATTTTTGTATTTCACAGCTTGCAGATAACGGTGATGAGAGTGTTAAATTCAGGAAACTGAAATGTAAAGGATGAGTTACTGTGGATGATGCACATCTGAAGGCTCACAATGAAACAGGAAGCAAAGAAACAGCAAAATTCAGAGTACCAACTTTAAAACCACAGACTAAAATTTTAACCCCATTCTATGCTTCCAGGTATCACATTTTTTGTGCACTGCATCCTGTTAAAGATTTCAGATTTAAAAACTGAGACCAACAGTGTGTCTGTGAAAGAGAACACAATTTTGAAGCCTATGGATGCAAATTTTGGGCAAGAGAAAATCCAGAAACTGTGACTATTCCATTCCTAGTCTTCTATATCCAAAGGACTTTGATGTATTTCAAAATATGGCTTAGGTTTCATTAATGCAATGTTGGTTTTGTAAAGCTCTAGTGCAATGCAATGTATTTTAGGACTGAGTCCAGGTAAACATAGATGAAGGCTGGGTGCTCCCAACTAGAGCCAGAAAACCTTTCCTTGAAGGTCAGGCAGTAAACATCTTCTACTTTCCAGCCCATAGGGTCTCATCTAATCAGTTGTCACTGTAGCGTGAGAGCAGCCATGAACAGCATGTCAACCAGTGAATGTGGCCATGTCTCAGGAAAATTCTGTTTATAAAAACAGGCCAGCCACGGTGTCAGAGCAGGATCTTGGGTTGGCCCAATGGGAACAACTGTCAAACGGCAGAGGCTGGAACCATCGGCTGCTCAGTGTCCAAAGTGGCAGAGCTCACATAGGAGCCTTAAGCCCACTGACACCAGCTCCAGTCTACCAGAACTGGGGCCTTTTTCTCATACAACTGGTACACCTTCTGCAACACTGAACTTAAAATACTCTCAAGAAAAACGACTTTCTCTCAGATAGACATATATACACACAGACACACATGCACAAAGTCTTCTCAGATGAGTAATGGAAGCAGAAGGAGCAAGACAAATGAACTGGATATTGATGAATATTTATGTTCTCTGTCTCGAAGCCTGTTTCAGAGTGCTACACTATCCTAGGAATAGATTCCACAGCATCTATCAGATGTATCTTCATTTTAAAACGTAGCTTCTATTTCATGATTGGTACTCTCCCATAAGTTATGCCTGTGAAAATGACCACAGGAAAGAATCTTTGCCTAAAAATCTAAACACTGAAGTAGCTGCACTGACAGGGATTTCCATATAACCCCGTGTCCTGACACCTGAAGAGCTGCTGATAGTAGACAGCACATTGAAAGAGGCAGGCTGTGGGGAAAGAGCACTCTGAGACAGTGTGCTTTAAGCAAGCACAAGTGTTTTCCTGGTTTTTCAGCCTACTTCACCATCTCCAGGAGGACGTTTGCTCTCCATTTTGATCGATCATTAGTTTCATCTTTAGTTTTTTTTGAGAACTCTTTGCATAATGACTCCCTCCACCACAAAGACACACAACCATGAACTCCTATAATCACTCACTGCCCTGCTGATTTCTCCTTCTGCCTGCGAGTGGCCCATGCAGGGGGCAGACAGAGCACAGATGGGAGGGACAGCCCTGGTGGAAACCACTGCTCCAGCTCACACTGGCCCCAGGGCCCTGAGGAAGCTACTCAGCTGCTCTGAGGACCGGTCTCTTCCACGTAAACCAGAGGGAGCAGCAGGTCTATTCCAACACTGTTGACACGATTTAAGAAGTATGTCTGTGAGGGGTCTTGCACGTCACTCAGTACACGTTGGTTCATCTCTCCTCTCCCAGCCATCCTTTCACCAAGACAGGGACTGTGAAGTCCAGAACTTATTTATCCACATGCCCCCACTTCGCAGTATGGCCGCTGGATTAGACACAGAACAGGGGCTGCCTATATGGTTCTGGAATGAGCAGTGGGGTCTCAGGTTTTCCTTCATTACTGAAGCTCTTAACCTCTTAAACTGCTATGAGGATGAGCCAAAAGTGTTCTCTGAGTCATGAAAAGAAAATGCTTCATAAATTCAAAAACAGAAGAACCCACTCCCATTAACATATACATACACATCACTATATATAAAATAGATAAATAACAGGACCAACTGTACAGCACAGAGAACTGTAGACAATATTTTGTAATAACCTGTAAGGAAAAAGAATCTGAAAAAGAATATACACACACATGTATGCACGCGTGCACACACATGCTCATGCTCGTGCTCAGGCATTCAGTCGTGTCCGACTCCTTGTGACCCATGAACTGTAGCCCACCAGGTTCCTCTGTCCATGGGATTTTTCAGGCAAAAATACTGGAGTATACCAGTATTTTGGTCATCTGATGCGAACAGCTGACTCATTGGTAAAGTCCCTGATGCTGGGAAAGATTGAGAGCAAAAGGAGAAGAGGGTGTCAGAGGATGAGATGGCTTGACAGCATCACTGATGCAATGGCCATCAACTTGGGCAAACTCCAGGAGATGGTGAGGGCCAGGGAGGCCTGGAGTGCTGCAGTCCATGGGGGTCACAGAGTCGGACACAGCTGGGTGACAGAACAACAACACTGGAGCAGGTCGTCATTTCCTCTTCCAGGGGATCTTCCTGACCCAGGGATTGAACCCTTATTTCCTGCATTGACCAGCAGATTCTTTACCATTGAGCCACCAGGGAAGCCTATAGACACATACATGTGTGTGTGTATATGTGTGTGTATCTGTGTGGTGTGTGGTATGTGTGTGTGTGGTGTGTGGTGTGTGTGTGTGTGTATCTGTGTGGTGTGTGTGTGTGTCTGTGTATCTGTGTGGTGTGTGGTGTGTGTGTGTATATGTGTGTGTATCTGTGTGGTGTGTGTGTGTGTGGTGTGCGGT